TTCTTAAATTGTGGTGCCCAAAACTGAGCACAATACATTGCTAGGTGAGGTCTAACCAGAGCAGAGTAAAGGGATACCACCATTTTGTGTGATCTGGGCACTATACTTCCTTTGAATCCCATAGCCAGGAGGCAACATCAGGGGAAGGCCTCGGCCTCTCTGCCCTGTTGTTGGCCCTCCAGAGGAACTGGTTGGCCCCTGTGTGAGACGGGATGCTGGACTAGATGGACCACAGGCCTGATCCAGCAGGGCTCTTCTGATGCTCTTCTCAGGTGAAGGCCTCGGCCCCTATGCCCTGTTGTTGGCTCTCCAGAGGAACTGTGGTTGGCCACAGTGTGAGACAGGATGCTGGTCTAGATGGACCACTGGCTCTTCTTATTTTCTTAAGTGGCTGATAGAGCCCAAGAACTTGATAATACAACTGGCCAAAAAAGAGAGGTCTTAACACCTTCTCCCCCTCTTCGGCTGAGAGCTCTGCCTGCTTTTGCTAGGCTGTTATTGGTTTGGCATAGCCGGCCGCACCCGCTGTCGATTGAGCAATAGTTTTAGTGGAGGGAATTAGTTTTTAGCTTAGTTGGGGAGGAGCAGCAGGGCATCTTTTGGAAGCACCTAGAAGCGTGGTTTGTCCCGAGCTTAGTTGTGTAGCTGTGGTGAGACAGGTGAGGAGGAATGGTTGTGGGAGCGGGGCAGGCCCTGGAGATCAAGATGTCATTCATGTTCAGACTCACTCTCTGTCCTTCACTTAGGGACAAGAGACCTGAGTTGTGGCCCTGGCTGGATCTTGGTTATGTAAATGATTTCCCTCCCACGTTACATAATCCTGGAGGAGGATATTGATTTGAGGCATGCAACTAAAACCCTGGCAGGCTGGTATAGGAGTATCTTTGTCCTGGCCCCTGTTAGCTCTGGCTGGGTATGTGGTTGTCCCTGTAACTTGGGGCAAACGGGGAGAGGTGTGGCCATAACCCTTCTGGAGGCCTTCACAGATATCCTGATCCAGACAGTTGCTGGCCTTGATTCCTTGGTTCCTTTTGTTGGGCTTCAGGGACAGGTTAGCAATCTTGTTGTACTGGTCTGCCTTGCACCCCGGGGAGCCCCCCGCCTCAGCTGGTGGCAGTGGTCTCAGGTATTGGAATCCCCCCTCCCCCCAGTTCAGTTGTGCTGGGGTTTTCCACTTCCATTCCAAATCTGACCTGTGTGGCCAAGGGTCGGTGTATTTGTCTTCCCTTGCACCCGTAAGACTAATCAAGGTTGTTTGGGGTCCAGATGTGAAGAAGGACACGAGCGAGATATGACTTAGTGCACCGAGCAGCTTGCCAGGGATCTGTTTCAGGACTTAGAGCTAGAACCTCTGTCATGGGTAGATCGTTTTTTGCTTAAAGTTCAGGGGATAGGAACTCATCCTCGCTGGTTTGCTATCGATAAGTGGTGGACCCCACTAGTTTTGGGAGGGCTGTCAGGGAGTCTCAGACGTGACTCTGTCCAAGTCTTGGTGACAGCCAATGTTCCCTCTAAGCTGAGTGAGTGTGAGCTAGCTCATAGTTTTTTAGCCTCTGGCTCACAGATTTTTGTCTTTGCTCAGGAAGGATGGGGCTCCAGGGCAAACTAATTTAAGCAGGAGCCAAATCGCTCGCTCACAACTTTCATGCCAGGAGCTCACAAAGTAGAATGTTTGCTCGCAGGACTCCACAGCTGAGAGGGAGCCTTGGTGACCGCCTGGGAAGACTAGGGACTCCACAACTTAGAGGGAGCATTGCCCCGCCTGGGAAGACTAGGCTCTCTGAGGCAGCTGACTGTGCTGGAAGGCTGCATGCAGCTCTGGTCACGCCATCTCCAAAAGGATGTTGCAGAGCTGGAAAAGGTACCGAGGAGGGCAACCCAGATTATGGGGGGATTGGAGCCCCTTCCCTAGGAGGAAAGGCTGGAGAGGCCGGGACTTTTCTGTTTGGAAAAGAGATGACAAACGAGGGACATTATAGAGGTCTATAAAATTATACATTCGGTGGAGAGAGCTGACAAAGAAAAAATGTTCTCCCTCTCCCAACAAGCCAGAACTCAAGGGCACTGCTTGGATGTAGTGGGGGGGGGTATGCTGTCCTCTCTTGAGGACTGCTGTTAAGTCCTGGATGCAATCACTCCCACAACACTCTTGTAGCAGCAAGATACGTTTATTGAGAGGTAGACTCCAAGCATAGACAGATTCTGTGTCGGAACTGGCCTTCGGATGCCAGTTCCGACCCTATACTACAAGCAGGACATCCCCCTATGCCAACCACCCAATCGATATTCTTATTCAGCCCGCTAAAGATCCAAGCTTGCCCTTATGGCCGCCCCCAGCACCTGCAAGCTAACGGTTACATTATCTAGAAGCTCCCCATGCTACAAGGTCATGTTGGACGCTGAGATCATACACTTCCCAGGCAATGCTCCCTCTAAGCTGTGGAGTCTTGTGAGCAAACATTCTACTTTGTGAGCTACTGGTATTAAAGTGGTGAGCGAGCAATTTGGCTACTGCATAAATTAGTTTGCTCTGGCGCCCCATCCTTCCTGAGCTCGGACAAAAATGTGTGAGCTGGAGGCTAAAAAATTGTGAGCTGGCTCACACTAACTCAGCTAAGAGGGAACACTGCTTACCAGGTTGTCAGTGTCTGACCGCACACCCCCCAGAGCATGCAGTCGGAGCAAGGATAAATTCTTCGCAGAGCTGATGTCAACACATGTCCGTCTCCCCTACCAGACGCGCACCTCACTGTTTATTTTCACATCCCGCAATGCAGTCCATCCTTGTCACTGCTAGATCACGGAGCAGCAGCTTTTTGCAATTAAGGAGCCAAACCTCATCAAAATTCAGAACAAGAGCCGTCCACAAAGCCATTTTCATAACTTAAACTATACAACTTAACATTGGTGAGAAGTGACATGTTGATCAGTAACCCTAAAGTTTCTGCAGCCCAAGTACTGGTTGTTGTTAGTCCTTTATTAGGAGGTGGCACACACAAGGTCTCACAATAAGCCCCCTGCGTGATTGTCTGAGTGTCCTGGTAGAAATCTGGGCATTGTTCTCACTTGGATTGCTGGCAACTTTCCCCCCTTCTTGTTTTCCTTTCTGTAAAGCATCTCTAAGAAGCCCTTTCATCCCATAATTTGCCACCCGCCATTCCCTTCACATAATGATTACTCTAGCATCTCACCTACCCTCCAATATTTCACTTTCTTTTTTTCTTTTCATTTCCTTTACAAAGAGCTGTGTTTGGTTCAAGAACGAAAACTGCAATTCGTTTTGGATTAATATTAGCTTTGTTAACTAAGGTTACACTGCTGCAGGCTACAGCTTAGAAACTTAAGTTGGTCCAGTGTGCCACTTGGCTAATTTAAATGTAAAAAGATAAAAGAGAATTTTCTTTATATTGCTGCAGTCTTAAACTCTTTGTCATCACACCCTGGCTTTGGAAGTTCCTATGATCGGGGGATTCTCTTTGCTAAAGAAATGAGAGGGCCACACTTGACAGATAATTGTGTGCGTAACAGCTGTTACATCCCTAAAGAAGGAAAACATTCATGCAACACATCAGCCATTGTGGTGTAATATACTGTGTCGTCCCCTCCAATACGTGGCCCTCAAAATGGCAAGGTCACAATTTCCAGTTTTGTTGTGAGCAGAAAACATGCACTTACTGAACTGAATCCTTGTGTAATGAAGCCACAGCGATGAAACCTTGTTCACCAGGACCTGAGTCGCCGTTGGCTGGAGAACCTCTCTCAATGGCAGCTCAGTCTGCAGAGCACCATCTCATCAGGTGGGCGTCCGTCAGCGGACAACTTTGCCAGTAGATCAAGATGGGTGGCCAATGCTCCCTCTAAGCTGTGAAGTCTTGTGAGCAAAATTCTACTTGGCGAGCTACTGGCATTAAAGTTGTGAGCGAGCGGTTTGACTGCTGCATAAATTAGTTTGCTCTGGAGCCATCCCTTCCTGAGCGAAGACAAAAATGTGTGAGCCGGAGGCTAAAAAACTGTGAGCTAGCTCACACTAACTCGGTTTAGAGGGAACACATGTGAGTCTGTCTGTAGCAGTAGAAAAGAGCAAGAGTCCAGGAGCACCGTAAAGACTTAACAAAGCATGTGGCAGGGGAGGAGCTTTCGTGAGTCACTGCTCACTTCTTCAGACTTCTGAAGGAGTGAGCAGCGACTCACGAAAACTCTTCCCCTGCCACAAATTTTGTTCGTCTTTACGGTGCTCCTGGACTTTTGCTCTTTTCTGTTACTTTGCCAGTGACTTGGATGGAGGAAGCAGGTGACTCGGGTCAGTTCCTGGGTGCTTGGAGGGGATTAGAAGGGGAAAAGAGGGGTTCCATGTTGGGTATCCATCATTTCATGGTGTCCTAAGCTTCTGTGTAGCATGTGGAATATTTGCATTGACCTGTCTGCGGCAGAAGGCCCTTTGATAATGCTTGAAGGATATCCTTCTATTTCTCCCCAGCCCTGGAAATCTGAAATGCCCTCTTCTTGCCAGCCATGTTGGTCTGAAGTAGAACAACTACATTTGATTCCAGTAGAACCTGAGAGGCCCACAAGATTTTCAGGGTTATGAGGTTTGAGTCATATTTGATAAAGAGCGCGTTGACTCGCAAAAGCTCTTAGATGCTGAACAGCTTTGTCATCTCGAAGGTGCCACTGGACTGGAATCCAGCTTGTCCGCTTTAAGAATCCTGAACTGTCGTTTTCCAGATTAACAGGCGTGCTCAACCTCCAGGGGGTTGGGTTGGTTTCCATGCTGAATAGCGTGACTTGGAAAAGTTCCTCCACTGGGGGGGTCTCCCCTACCAAATTGCCACCAATGAAATGGTTACAGTTAAGTGCAACCTAATAAAGGATTTCTGATCTTTGTAAGTCTGAATTGTCTTAGCTATAGTTCCAACTGAATCCAGATGCAGGAAGAGTGAGTGGGTACCTTTGCTGTCCGTGGAGTCTCATTTGTTCCCTGTTGTCTTTCTCCAATACAGGTGAGCGTCCCTTTCACTGTAACCAATGTGGAGCTTCCTTCACACAAAAGGGCAACCTTCTGAGGCACATCAAATTACACTCTGGGGAGAAACCATTTAAATGCCCCTTCTGCAGCTATGCTTGCCGGAGGAGGGATGCCCTCACTGGACACCTCAGGACGCACTCGGGTGAGTCAACGTTTTCTCCTCTGTCTCCCTCCCGTCCAGATTAAACTGTGATACTTAGCGCGGGCAGTGCAAGGGTGTTTCGTTAGGGGGTCAGAAGTGAACCAGAGGCAAGTGAGTAGCTCCCCCACCCACCCCCCACGAAGCCTGAGAGCTTCTTCCAAAGTTGGCTTAAATGTTGAAGTTCACAGTGTCCCGTGGACAAAAGTCCTTCCGCGTTATTTAAATTCTTGTTGATTTCAGGGAACCCGGCATCAGTTAATGCGGGGAATTTTCATTTTCCCCCTGTCTCCATCAGCAAGCATCCCTAGGACACAGGCAAGGTTCCCTCTAAGCTGTGGAGTCTTGTGAGCAAAAATTCTGCTTTATGAGCTCCTGGCATTCAAGTTGATAGCGAGCCATGTGGCTGCTGCATACATTAGTTTGCTCTGGAGCCCCATCCTTCCTGAGCTAAGACAAAAATTCTGTGAGCTGGAGGCTAAAAATTGTGAGCTAGCTCACACGAACTCATCTTAGAGGGAACACTGGACACAGGTATTCTCACAGTGCTCTCCGGCCCTGCTGCCTCTGATCATCTCTTCCATTTTGTGAACACTGCAAAACCCAAGTTGCATTTTGAAGAAAGGGGCGTGCATAGGAATAGAATCCTAGAGTTGGAAGGGGCCCTACAGACCCGCCTAGTCCCACCCCGTGCCCAATGCAGGACCGGCCTGAAGCATCTCTACCAAATATTCCTCCAGCCTCGTCTTGAAAGCGGCCAGTGAAGGGAAGCTCCCCACCTCCCTGGGCAGCCGGTTCCACCTGTGAACCCATTCTCCCTACTACGCTGGAGCTCCGCTGCTACTTTTGTACCCTTTTAAGGGTATCTTTCCTCTCGTACCATAAGCGGAAATCATCCTGGCCGTCTCTGTTCTTCAACCGGTTCTGGATTTTTCCAGTTTGCTGTTGAGGGTCTCCCAGTAAAGACATGTGGAACTTGTGCAACCTAATAAAGGTTTTGCCTGGTCTTCCTGGCATCAAGGGGAAGCATGCAAACCCCATACAGATGCAAATCTCTTCATCAGTGTGGGTCACATCATCCCTCTCTGGCTTTCTCCGTCACCAGGAATTCAACGCTGGAATGAGTTCTGGGTCACCTTCCCCAAGGCTCATCCCAGAACATTTGGAAGTGGCTAAGCTACTCTCCCTAACACCAGTCAGACCATAACTGAGATCGTGAGTGACATGTCTGGGGATGCTGGATCTTAGAATCATAGAATCGTAGGGTTGGAAAGGGGCCATACAGACCATCTAGCCTAGTCCCACCCCCTGCCCAATGAGGGACCAGCCCGAAGCATCTCTGACAAATATTCATCCAGCCCCTTCTTGAAAGCGGTCAGTGAAGGGAAGCTCACCACCTCCCTGGGCAGCTGATTCCACCTTGGAACCACTCTGACCGTGAACTAGTCAGCTGAGCAGTATAAAAACTGCACTTCTGATTCATGGCGTGAGCGCGGTGGTGGACTCGCTGTTTGTGATGTGGGTTCCAAAATCCAAGAGGAAACGCACTCCCTCATTTGGGGAGCGAGTCAAACCTGCTGATCCTGTTAAAAAGTCTCACATTGTGTAAAAGCTCGAATCTTAAAAGCTTTTGGAATGAGTCAGTGTGGACGACTCAATACAATTTTTGCCACTACTTTTCCATACGAATGTCTGGAAGATCTCTTTTTGATTAATGTCTTCAGCCTTTCCCTGCTTAAATCTTAATAATGCCCAAAGTGAGCCATGCTCATACCAGTTTTCCATGTACGGATTTCATCCCGATTCATTACCTGTCCCAGTTTAGACTCAGATAGTTGTACGAAGTGAATCCACACAGATTCTAAACTTCATAGCTGATCTATGGAATTTTCTGGGCTTTTTTACAATGTATTTTTCACGTTGTTCCTCATTTTTCTGTTCCTTTAATAATTTCCACAACATTATTTTTCTCTTCTTTTTTAACACACTAAGTACTTGATAGAAGAACCATTACTTTAAACCAAGAGCTGGCCTATGTGGATCCCGCTGCCAAGCCAGTTGGTATCTGGACATTTTTAAGAGAAATGTTTCCAAGCTGCAGTTTTGCATGTTTCACCTGGTAGATGTTGCCCATGAGTTTTTCCCTTCTTTTAAGCATAAAGTCCCCTTTGTTAGGGTTGTTACCCACATGCACGAGGAAGGAAGAAGAAGAATATGCAGTTTACTTATTTATTTAGCTTCCCACCTCAAGAATTCCACGGTGATTTTGTGAGGTCTTTTTGGCTTGTGGCAGTTAGGAGATTTGCACTGTGTTCCTGAGAGCATGACTTTTAGGCTTCAGTCCTATGGACACTTTCTTCAGATTAAGTGATATTGAATTACCGGATTATTTCTGAATACTGCTGTTTAGGACTGCTCTCTTATTGTCTGTTTACAGTAGATTTCTGATTCCATACTATCTCAGAGAAGGGAGACTATCTAACTGTTCGTCTATGGTTCTCCTTCAAAGTAATGGCTTCTACAACTTCCTTTATGTGTTTTAAAAATGACTTATGGGGTAAGGAAGGAGCTGTGAGAGGGGAGGGAAACATATTGGGATGGGATTTAAAAAGAAATCCATTACACCATGCAGTGCGTTATCATCATTTGCCCCAAACAACTCTCACTGCAGTTACTCTTACCAGGTCCATAAACACGATAAGCTTACCATGAAGAGGAGGCCTTTCTCTTTTGGATGATATAGTTATAATTATGTTGTTGCATGTGTAGTTGATGGTTTTAAAACTCATTGTGATATTATTTAAGTTCCTTTGGGGAATCAGTGTTTAAAAAAAATAAATGAAATTCCATGTCATAAAATGTTGATGAACTAGGGCAAAACCCACAAGAACACAATGAAGAAGAGAAGAAAAGATGGGTTTATACCCTGCCATTCATTGCCCGAAGAAGTCTCAGAGCAGCTTGCAATCTCCTTTCCCCTCCCCTCCCCACAACAGACACCCTGTGAGGTAGGTGGGGCTGAGAGAGCTCTTTCAAGGACTGCTCGTGAAAGAACTTGTGACTGACCCAAAATCACGCCAGCAGCTGCATGTGGAGGAGGAGTGGGGAATCAAACCCGGTTCTCCCAGATTAGAGTCCACACTCCTAACCACTACACCAAACTGGCTGTCACTGCTCGTCTATGAGTTGAGCACACTATAACAACCCTTTTGAACTCACAACCAGAGAGCAAATAGTCTAGTAAAATCTACCCTAACACACAGTTAAAGGAAAATGTTCAGTCTTTTATAATTGGGGAAAGTTAAGCTTGCGTGTAACTTTCCTCTTTAAAGGAGCTTGACTTCAAAAAACTAAACATTAGTTGTATCATTCTCTAACCTACCAAAATGCCAATCATACAGTTTTAAAAACTAATGTAAGCCCATTCTTTGCATGTTAAGTTTACTACCGAAATTGCTTCTTGTTCAGTTACTGGCACCCCACCCCTTGACAACAGAAAGCTGTCGGGTTTGGCTACAGTCAAATAAAATCTCCTCGTCTTATACCGTAGGAGGAATCTAGGAACACAAGACTATTTATTTCATTGAGACCCAGCATGGTATAGTGATTAGGGTGTTGGACTAGGGCTTGCAAGACCCAGGTTCAAAACCCCACTCTGCCATGGAAGTATTGGGATGTTAGATAAATATAGCAGAGTTTGCCCAGTCATAGATAAATAAATCTCCAAAGAAGTACATTGCAAAAGTGGTAAACTTACATTCAGGGCTATTTTTGGGCAGGAACGCACAGGAACGGAGTTCCAGCTGGCTCCCAAGTTGGCCACGCCCAGCAGAAACTCATTAGCATAATAGGCCACACCCAACAGCAGGAACTCATTAGGATTGGCTACATTAGGGGTGTGTGGCCTAACATGCAAAGGAGTTCCTGCTACAAAAAAAGCCCTGGGTTTTGACAACAAACAAGGTAAACAGAATAACAAGCAAAAGGTGGGTGTGGCTGGATAACCACACTTCTGGTAACATGGGGGTGCGGCCTAATGTGCTAATGAGCTGTGCTGTCAGGGGTGTGGCCTAATATGATAATGAGTTTCTGCTGTTGGGTGTGGCCTATTATGCTAATGAGTTCCTGCTGGGTTTTTTCTACAAAAAGAGCCCTGCTTACATTTATTCAAGTTGATTCAGTTCACGTTCAGGTTGCAGTCTAATTGTGGGAACTTGTCTAGATACGTCATAATCCTTAAAGGATCTAGAATTGTCTGGGTTTTCGTTAGATTATAGGAAGTGGAACGATTTTTTTGGACGTTTCCGCAGTAACAGTGCAGTCCTAGACAGCACTGCCCCGTTCTGATTCCATTAAGGTTGGTGAACTTAGAGGAGTATAAGTTCGTTTAGGATTGCAGCCAGTCCCTAGCCGTTGAACCCCAGAGATCTGTTTCCTACTGATAAGACAGCCTGCTGGCAGGGAGGGCGGGGACACAAGTGTGATAAAATAAATAAATAATAAAATAAATAATTTGAAGGGCTCCTACAAAAGTGTCAGTTGCGCTCTGCGCTTTGGTCTTAACAGGATCACTCCTTTGTCGACAATGTTAAACAGAAGCCCCAAGATAAGGAATCGTGTTTACATCACAGAAAAAGGAAATGGCATTGGGCCACGTACGGAGAAATAAATCTTATAAGCAGCCAGGCAACTCAGGAGTAGGCGGTACTCTCTTCTCGTACACGGGGGGTAACATCAGCTTAGCATAGGACTGCCAACCTCCGGGTGGTAGCCGGAGATCCGCCACTGTGACAACGGATCTCCAGGTATCTGAGATCAGATCCGCTAGAGAAAATGGCTTCTTTGGATGGTGGACTCTGTGGCCCAATTGAAGTCCCTCCTTTTCCCCAAACCCCGCCCTCCTCAGACTCCGCCTCCAAAATCTCCAGGAATTTCCCAACCCTGAGCTGGCAACCCTGTCTGAACAGCACATGGGAGATTTGTTTGTTTATGTGTTTATTAAA